CCCGCTATCATAAGGTATTACAGTGTATTACATGTATTTCTATGCATTGTCGAGCTTTGTCGATATTATGACTTCAGCAATTATTACCAATAATTACAGAAAAAATGGATGTGTTTAATTGTAAACTTGAGAATGTTGCTCCAAAGACTTCAACAATTTAATTGGAGTAAAGTTTGAATTGCAATTTAATTTTTATTCAAAATGTACATAACTATTAAAACTAAACTTAACATGGGCCCAACCCCCTATTCTCGTTCGTCGTTCGAACCGTATTTGTAAGGAAAATACGATTGGAACGTTAATCGAGAATATGGGTGCTTGTCATTTCGTAGAATGGATAATTGTTGCACTCTGAGATACATTTATAATACTGTCTTTATCACTAATTACAGGTTATGAAACACACGAAACCGATGTTCGAGTGCGGCAACTGCTCGAAAAAATTTCACTGGAAAAAAGATTTTATGTTTCACCAAAGCATTTGCGATCCTGTCCAGATTGACCTCCCGAATCACAAAAAGCAGCAAGAGCAAACTGAGGAGATTGATCTGAAAATGGAAATAAAAGTAGAGGAAACAACGTTAGTGCCACGTGATGGCTGTGAAAATTCATCGACAGATTCATCTACCGTAATTGATTGTCCTGATTTGAGTCAATCCGAAAAAAATTGATACTTAGTAGTTCTGAATCTCTGTCAGTAGGTTGCAGTAGACAGAGTTCAGTGTTGATGCAAGAGAGATCATTTCACACGAAGAAATTGCATCGTCATGTGACTTTACAAGTCAAAAGTGTTACTGATCTTTTCGGGTTGACTCAACATGTTTAATCAATTTAATCTTCATTGCAATTTCTCTAACAGGATCTGCATGGCGGTAAATCGATGGACGAAGTGACTGAAGATGCAACTTTAAGATTCTCGATTAAAAAAGAATGTTCAGAAGAAGAAGAAAACACCTAAATCAAATCATACCTCAGAGTACAAACTGGTTTATATGGTTTTGCCATTAAGCTAACAGTTAAAATGTATGACGAAAAAGTATGATTCATTTCTATGCGATGACAATACTTGACAATAGATAAGGAGAGTAACTACATTAATGTAGGGTTCTGAATGTTTAACTCCTGTTTTAAAATTCACCTTGGCTCCCAGTTGACAAGCAAATGGAGAGGAAGCGCACCGCCCAATAAATTTTCCTGAGTTTTTCTATGTTTTTCTAGGAAAAAAATCTCGAATATGAGAAAATTCAAGATTGTTACTACTTCTAGACTGAGTAAAATTTTCGTCAATTTCCTCATTGTCCGGCAGATTTTAGAGGTTTTCCACAGGAAAACATGAGGCAAATTAACTCAACACTGGGTTCAAGCATTTTTTTTGGGATTTATGAGTAAATTAAACTCAAATTTGAGTCGATCTCATTAGCCGTGTAACACCCACAAAAACAGACTTCAAACACGGTAAGCAAAAAGTACCTAACGGTCAGTTCACTTTTACCTACTTTTGACTAGTTTGTCTCCTTTTCTCCTTCTAATGTTGTCAAAAACGGAGGAGCAAAACCACCCAACAGGGGTAGTAAAGTGTGGGTACTCAACGTTGAGTATAATCATGTTTACCTACTTTTAGGTACACGGCGAATGAGAACGACTCAAATTTGAGTTTAGTTCACTCATAATCGCCAAAAGTGCAGGAACGCAGCGATGAGTTAATTTGCCTCATGTTTTCCCAGGTTTTTCCAGGATTTTCCAGGGAAAAATTCCTGAATTTGAGAAAAGTAAAGATTGGATTCACTTAGTCTATTGGTACTATTCCGAGACTGAATAAAATTTTCGTCAATTTCCTCATTTTCCGGCAGATTTTTTAGGTTTTCCACAGGAAACCATGGGACAAATTTTACTCATCGCTGAGTTCCTGCACTTTTGGCGATTATGAGTGAACTAAACTCAGATTTGAGTCGTTCTCATTCGCCGTGTACAACTAACTTACTTTTGGCACAGAGAACAGACGTCCAACTTCGGTGAGAAACATGTGTAAAATAAGTGGGAACATCGCTGTTACGTGGCGCTAGCATCTTCTGATTTCCTCTATAATTTTTCCACTTTCGACGCTAGTTACGATAAATTTTCTGTTGAAAATTGCCACTTGGCACTACCAGCACTTAGTATCTAGTGTAATTTGTGCAACGCCAGCGCCTTCAGGTTGTTAAGGAGTCGAGTTTCGAACGCCTTTGGATACGGTTGTGTCTAAATTTGCTCTCTGTTTTGTACGTGCATTCTCTTTCATAGTTTTCGGCTGTATTTGCCGGATTAGCGCTGGCACTCTGCCTCCCGGACGGTTATACGTGTGTGAATGGTGGTTTTCTCGCTTTCCGAGAAGTTTTAGAATCAAGAAAGAAAACATGATTCATCATGTTTGCAAAATTGCAAGCATCAGAAGATTTGGCGCTGCGTGGTTTGATTGTTTCTCCCGGACCAAAAATATGTTGCATCGCGAGTGAAAATTTTAATTTCTGTTTATTTACGCGGTGATGAGCACGGCACTGATCTATTGTTAGGGTTTTGCGATGTGCATTGCTTTTGTGCACGGAGTGTCTTGAAAAAGAAAAGTGAAGAAAAGTGATATTTGGTTGTTGTGTGGTTGGAGTGGAGAGAAAAATATGCGTGGAAGCATCGGGAATGCGCTCCGGGTGAAGTGATTTGGTGAGTACGTTCCAGTTGAAGATTGTTGACAAGTGTATTTGTGGTGATGCAAATTATGGTTTAGATGACGCATGGCTTTAAACATTTTGTGTGTTCAAATAAAACATATTACATACTAAATACGCACAGGGCATCGTCTGCTGACCATTGCCGCGGGTATATCGTGGGAGTCCCAGGTACCCGGTTCAAGCTTTAGTTGGCGGCGGTGGCTCTTCTTGACCTTCTATCCCCTGAGTAGTTAGTGTGAATAAGGGCGTCTATGTGATGTTTTGCTGTACCTGTTGTGGACATCTAGTGCATCCTGTTCCCTTAACTTGTTGAGGACAACCTGTCTTGCCTCAAAAGTACTTCAACTAGTCTTCACAACATAAAGGGCACCATTACGGAGCATGAGATTTGATCAAATTATTCGCAGTTCTACTTGTCCAACGCCCCCGGCTGGGTGAGGGATAGAGGATGACACACACACACAGCGCCTTCAGGTTGTTAAGGTTTTTAAGTGGGGAAGTCGCCTTTAGTAGCGCTTAAGGTGAATAGGAATCTTCACATAAGTTTTTACAGAAATTTTGTTCGAGCCGCAACGTCTGTTCTCTGTGCTTTTGGGTAGCAAGCTATAGAACATTCAATATGAATTACACAGAAGTAAATGAAAACTACTTTGGCCCGCTTTACCTACTTTTGGGTTCCTGCACTATACACAGAAAAAAAGTTGTTGAATATTACATCCAAACTGCTGCAACCAGGTCAATCCATCGGTTGTGTAATATAACGTTGAACGATGTACATCGATTTTGCGAACAAAATTACATCCATGGATGTTATATTGTATCTGCTTTTTGCTATTATATCATTATTTCATACATCAGCTTGGATTACATTGATCGATATTACATTTTTTTTTGCTGTGTAGTCACAAAGAACAGACGTTGAGGCTCGAACTTAATTTCTGTAAAAACTTGTGTAAAGATTCCTATTCGACATAAGCGCCACTAACGGCGACTTCCCCACTTAAAACCCCTCTTTGATAACATGATGGCGCTGGCTTTGCACAACTTACTCTAGACACTAAGTGCTGGTAGCGCCAAGTGGTAATTCTCATCCGAAAATTTATCGATACTAGCGCCAAATTGGTCGAAAGTTGAAAATTTATAGATAATGAAATAATGCAATCTACGTATATTGTTCTTTTCTGGCTTGCCTTTGGTCAAAAAGAACATTTTACTAGAATGCATTGAGGCCTATTCTGTGCCTCATGTGAGGTGGCTCTCCGAGTACATCAACTAAAGAATCACCTCACATAAAGTGACTTCATTAGTGACAGCGAGTCACCTCACCTCACAGTGGTGCGCAGAATAGGCCTGATTATTATTGAAGATGCATTTAATAAAGAAATTAACCAAAGAAATCTACCATAAATACACATAAACATCACTGCAAAATCCAGTGACATGTACTAGAAAATCACGTAACTTTTAAGTGGAGCCAATTTGACGTCCATCGGTGCGTCCGATAAAATTTACGTGAAAATCACTTGATTTTCATATGATACATTTGAAAAAAAAAAAAATATTCCAAAACACGTAATATTCACCTGAAAAGTTCGATGGAAAATATCTACGTACCTTTTCAGGTGAATATTACGTGAATTTTATTTGCAGTGTATGCAACAGTAGTAAAGCCCTACAGTAAAAGTATGGACGTCTGTCAAAAGTTGTTCCAATCGAACCGCCCTAATTTTTTTTTTTTTTTAATTCTTTATTTAAGAGATTTTTAGCCTTAGGCTGAACCGCCCTAATAAAATTGTTATGGTTATTTTGCTTAACGACGTGTTCCGGGTATCATCCAAACCATTTGTGGAATAGTTCAATAATTTGGGTTATCATTCGTTTATGGTATTTATTTATTAGGGCGTCAAAATGCACAGCTTCGCTCGAACAGCTTTTTTCAGTTTTGTGGTGACAGTCGTCCATACTTTTACTGTAGGGCTTTAAAATGGATGAGTCATTATTGTTTTGAAAAGATCAAAAAGTTGCTTTTGTTTATAATCAGGTAAAAAATACAACATATTTTTTTTTTTATGTTCTGCTGTAAGTGACTGATTTCATTGATTTTATCCAAATTGTTCATGTTCAATAACCATATTAAATGTGTATCTTAAAAGAGCATTCTTCATGTGACTCCTGTTTCCAATAGGACAAAATTTAATACAGTGAAACGACCGTGTAATCAAGCCATGCTGGTCGAATGCGGAGTTTGTCTTGAGGAATACCCGGAAGGCGAGTTGGAACTGCATCGGCAGATGTGTGTGGTGCGATTGATGTTCCGGTGCGTCATTTGCGACGAAGATTACATGAGCAAGGAAGGACTGTGGAATCATCTTGACCTGCATGAGGTAAGAAGAGATCAAACATGATCAGGCGATCCACACCGAAATGTTTTCCTTGCCTAAAGATTACAGATGAAAGTAAGGAACTGCACTATCAGGAAATAAAAGCAAAACACAAGTTGCACCAATGCGAGCTCTGCAACGACCAACGTGCGTATTTGAAGAGTCACTACTGGAAGCACGTTCAAGTAAGTGATGGATTGCAATACAAATACCATAGTTCAATAAAGGGTTCGCATTACAGGACGTTCACGATGGGTTCTTCCTGCGGTGTTCTGAGTGTGGGGAAAACTTTCGATCTGAAAAGCTTAAGAATGATCATACCCAGAGCCATTGTAAGTTTAGGGATCAAACGGTAACATCGGAATTGGCTGATCGAAGGGTCAGTCGCGTAATCTTTCCTTGTGTAGTTGAAAAAACAACTTCTGATGCTGAACAATCGCGAAGAGAGCAGGGCAACAAATCAAATGAAGCAGTTGGTGTAAATTCTCGACTGGATGAGAATTCACCTGTTGATTTGAACGATGTTACCGAAACAAAGATGCTTTCTATTGATACTACTGATAATGATTTGATGCAACCTGTGCTGCCATTCATGTGTGATATTTGCGGTAATACATTTTCTTCTCACTTTAAGGTCCAGTATCATAAGGTATGTATATCATGTTTCACCGCCAAACTTCTCTATCTAGTACCTTCTTTTTTCGTCCAAAATAGAAAGCGATACACGGACGGATATATAAATGTCCTCACTGTCGGAAATTATTTAATATGGAAGATTATCACGCACACTTATTATTATGTGAAAAAAAGAAAAGATATCCATGTGAATCATGTCGTACACAATTCTCAAAGCCATTTTATCTTGCTAAACATATGAGACTGGTTCATCAAGTTACTAGAACTTTGAACAACAAGAAGCAAGATCAACCTCACACGGAGCAAATTAATAAACCAACAGAAACAATTACTAGTTCTGGTAAACAAACAGCAGATACTGGTGTGATTGAGCACTCAGCACCTGCTAATTTTAATGCAGTTCAGGATACAGATTGTAATGTAGTTGAGAAGAGCATCGCAGAGACGAGCTTGCAGCTACTTACTGAGAATTCAACAAGAAGATCATCCGCGATAAAATGTGACCACTGTGACAAAAAGTATAACAGTCGTAAAATTTTAGGTGCTCACTTCAGAAAACATCATAAGCCGATAAAGTGTAGCATCTGTGGAATCACCATTTATGGTGCGCAGAAAGTCTTATATCATAAGGTTGGTCTGCAAAAGCTAATTGCGAAGCATGGCGATGTATGAAATAATTTGCTATAATATTGTTTTTTTTTTTTTTTTTTTTTTATCGTAAATTAGTTGACTCACGAGGAGCTACCATACAATTGTGCTATATGCAAGAAAAAATTTCGCTCGAAATTGGATTTTGAGGAACATGTTAGCAATTGTGTTCCTGAACAGATTGTCTCTCCTAATTTTACTTTGAAAGACAGGAGTGACCCAAAAGTAGCGAAGGAGAAACCTTCGGGTAAGGATTGTCCCCAATGTGGAAAAAATGTGCGTGATGCTGTTGCCCTAAAACGTCATATCCAACACAGCCATGTGCCAACAACATGTAATATCTGTGGAATTAGTTTCCCCAGTTTTTTGCGGGTGCGATATCATAAGGTTTGTGGACTAAATAATGCTATTTTTTTTTTAATTTTATCTATGTGTTTATCGTTTAATACAGGCTGCAATTCACAAAATAGCGAAGCACAAATGTCCTCGTTGTTCGAAGACTTTTCTCACGGAAAAACGACTTAAGATGCATATATCCATATGTGTTGACCGGAATTGTGAGTTTTGTCTCAAAATTTTCAAACATCGATGCTCTGTCAGTCGCCATCAGAATGGAGCTTGCCGTGTCAAACGACGTTTGGAGAAGAAACAGGAGAAGCAGCGGCTTCTAATGGAGAGAATTTCACTCTTCCGTAGTTTACATTCAAACTTAAACAGTATGCATCAGAAAACAAATCGCCAAGATAAGAGCAATTTGAGGAATGTCCCAGAACAATCACTGGTAAATCCATCCATCATAGTTGATAAAGCCAGCCTTAACAAAAAGCCAAATGCTAAAGAAGTAATTTGTTCAAGTGGACAGAGCAATGCAATTGTTCCCGAAGAAAATGATTATCTAGTTAGCTCTCGAGACAGTCAATCATTTGCTGATGATACGGATAGTCATATGATCAACAAGGAATCCAGTGTGCTCTATGTTGCTTCTATGAAAGCTAAAGGTGATAGTTCAGAGAAGCCATGTATTGAAAAGCTATCAGCGCACCAATATCGGTGCCCCATCTGTGATATTATTTGGCCTAGCTATCGCAAAGCAAGGTATCATGCGGTATGTTGGTAAAATTGACGTTCTTGATTTCTGTTTGTAATACCTACTTTCTTTTTCGTTCAATTCAGCTGACGAGGCACATTACATCGAAGCTCCAATGTTCCTATTGTTTGAAGCAATTTCATTCTAAATCAATGTTAAAAATACATGCGATAAGTTGTGTACAAACGAAATATCCATGTGATTTGTGTGGTAAAAAGTATAAAAACGCGACCCGTGTCGAGGTGCATAAGATTCTAGTGCATGGAATTAACGATAACAAGCCTTTTAAATGGAAAAATCGCGATGCGAATAGTAAAGGCACTGATGACCATAACAAAAACAGTGTTGGAATGAAGCATTCTAAGCAACCGTCAGCCGATAGCAGAGGAGATCCATCGAGTGGATCATCCTGTGCACAGTGTTCTTACTGTGTGAAATATTTTCCCAGTGAAGATTTATTATCTTTTCATATTAAAAAATGTCATGTTCCATGTGCATGTAATATTTGTGGAGCTATTATTGCTAGTGTCGATAAACTAGGGTATCATAAGGTATGTTGATCAAAATTTACTTCTCTAGTTTGATATAGTTAATACAGATTTTATTCTACAACACAGGCCACGACGCATAGGAGTGCGAAACACAATTGTCCTTATTGTCCGCTTAAATTTTATCAAACCTCGCCTTATCGGTTACATATAGTCAAATGTAAGAATCGGAATTTTTCCTGTGATCTATGTGGTAGAAAGTTCCAAAGTTCTAAAACTTTTAAGTTGCATAACAAAGTGCATCATCAAGATAAGGAAGTGTTGAAGAAAGGTCAACAATGTCGTATAACTAAAACCGAAGAACGCAAGCAACAGCAAACCGAGAAGATTGCTTTCACAAAGGAAATTACAGAACAGGAAACAAAATCAAATCTAGTGGTCATTACTGACTGTTCGATTTGTGGAGAAAATTTCGCAGACCAGCACTTAGTTTCCCGACACATCGAAACAACTCATCGGATGACTATTTGCTTGATTTGTGGAATGACGTTTCCCAGTGCTGATGAGCTAATGAATCATAAGGTTTGTATGATGTTTAATGATAATTTGTAATGTATCTATTTTAGTTAACCTGCTGGAATTGTCTGAATTAAACCTTTCCTGCCCAACCCCCTATGTTTGTTGTTTAGGAGTGATAGTAATTTTGTTACCAATGCCTTGAATTTCTCCTCACAATCGCAATAGTTTTTTTTTTCTCAGAATAATCGTAGAATTAGTATTACATTCTTCTCAAACTTCGAATGAAATTCTCATGATAATTCTTCAATAAGCCAGATTCTTGAATTCTGAATAATTAATGGGTAGTTCTCAGGTTTACTTCCCTTTACGTGTTTTTCAGTTAGAAGAGCGTATCAACTGGAACGTTTATCTTATTCCTGGAATCTTAAAGAAAATTTCAAATCTATTTGTTATGTTTTTAATCTTATGTTTTCTAATAATTATATTCTAATATATATATATATATATATATTTTTTTTTATCTATTTCAGCTCAATTGTTCTCAGCATCTAGCAAAGCACATAGATTCTCAATTCGATACAGAAAAAAAATCACTACTCCAAGGTGAGAATTTATCCAGCGTGGCAAAAGAAATTCAAACTGATTCCTTGCCACAAGAAGAAAATATTGAAATCAAAATGGAAATTCAAGTAGAGGACATAATGCTGCAGACAGAGCAATACCCAGTTTCAAGCAATGATCGAGGAAAATCATTCACCACGACTTCGGCCAGCGTTAGTGAACTTGAAGTTGGCAAGGTTTGTATAAATTGAACTTTATTATTATGTGTTTTCTGAAGTGATTCACTACTTTCCGTGGGAGTACCTCGTTTGGCATAATGGCCGTTTGGAATAAATTATGAAAAGAAGGGGAAATTATCGTTTTGTCTTCTTTTGAACATATGCTCTTCTTTATTTTTTTTTGAGAACCGATAAGAATGATAAAAAATCAGTGATGTTCGATAGAGACTATACATTTTTTTCTCGTTTATGCCAAACGGCAGTTATGCGATACACAATTCACTTTTTTGCGACCAATACAGAATTTGTCTTTAAAAACTCACCTCAAATAACAGCTTGATTTGGTTAATTAAAAATCGTGAAGTCCGACGAGAAGACTCCGTGATTTAGACATTCAAGCCTGTTATTTTCAAAGTTAGTCAAGACCATCAGATAATACAATTTCTATTTTTCCGTTGCCTGTGATCTCGAAATAGCATAGACAATTTCATCACAAATTATGTGATGTTTCGAAAACCCCTCCCCTTGGCTAGTTTTTGCACCTTGCTGTTGGTGGGCGGCCTTTATAGTGGAGTGTTGGAGACGGTAGGCTTATGACCAGCGTTGCTGGCTCATGCCGCGATAGAATAGCGCCATGGGCAGGCGATGGAGATTGCTAAACTTACCCTCTCTGATGAACCACTGCATGAGAGAACCAAAGATCTAGTCTGGCAGTGATAGTATCACACTTGTTACTCCTTTTATTGAGAGCCGCGTCGTGGTACGCTTACGTACAGGCACTGACGTTGGGTGTGATACTGGCGGGTTTTGCCGCAAATCACTTATTTTAATTATTTTCATACAGATAGATTTATTTGCGTTTGCAAGGAAATATTTCAGAAAGTGCCCCACCGTGCTCCTTTTATTTGCGTGACAAGCTTTCATTGTTTGAGTGGGTTGGTTTATTTCCTTTAAATTCCGTTATAATTGCTTATCTTTTGACAGTGCCACTGAGTACTTGGCACTGATGAAGTCTGCAAGTAGTAGACGAAATACGCGTATCTGTCAAAAAGAAGCAATTCCGGAGAACTTTGAGAATAAAGCGTAATTGCTTTTGTAAACAAACACGACAATCGCCGATTTCTCGCCAATTAAGGCCTAATAAAAAAAATAACAGCACAAATAGGTAGATAAATGATTCCTCTATCATTTGGTATGGTTTGTTCGCGAGATTGAGTATCAATTTACGAGAAATCGGCGATTGACGTGTTTGTTTACAAAAGCAATTACGCCCAAATCTCAAAGTTCTCCGGAATTATAACGGAATTTAAAGGAAATAAACCAACCCACTCAAAGCTCTTCATAAAGGAATTCCGTTAAGAGTTCGACAAATTTAAAGGATCTTTCATTGTTGTTTTCATTGAAGTATTACTCAGGGAACAATGTTAAACAACATTTTTGTACATGGTATTGTAACTAATCTTATATGTGCTTCATTTGGGATAAATGTTTGAACTATGGCTCGGGATTTCCACTGTGGCGTGCTTCTATTGTGACATACCCATACGTATTTCTGTGGTGCGACATAGTGGAAGCGTGTTTACTCCAGCAGGCCTGGGTTCAATCCCAGTCGGCGCCGCCGGGATGTTCGGAACGGAAGTAAAGCTGTTGGTCCCCGGTTGATGAGTTGATGGGTCGATATGTAGGGTCCAGGTGTGGGAGCTACCTCCCTTGCGTCGGTAGCATTGGTGCTCAGCACGGAAAACAAATCAAACTTATGGGATATTTAAACCATTATTTGTTTATTTTTAAAGGAGCATGAAAAATGCTCATGATAGGTTGTGACTGAGAGTTTATAAAATTTCTCGAAGTGGGTCAACAAAAGATTGGAACCATTTTTTTCGATCAATAAATGTCACTATTAGTCACTTTATTATTGTTTAAAAGTGCATATTTGATCACCTTTTTGTTTTTTTTAAACTTAATTATAGAGATTTTTAGCCGTAGGCTAGTTCATCTCGTATCACCATTTTCGTTATTTTAGTTACTAAAGTCACTACTTTTATATTACATAAACCACTACCAGCCCTGTAGTGTATTACAGAATTTTCACACTAGATGGCGCTGATTCTAAAATAATAAAGTTGCGCTCTAGGGGTGAGACAATGTTGCGAGTTTCTGATAGCCTTATTTGCCGTTTTATTTTAATTCAGCGTTCCGTTTCGCATCGTTCCATTTCGCTTTACTCCATTCCATGTGCTAAATGACGGACGGTCTGACGATTCACGACTGCGGTTTGGATGGAAAATTTGTGTGCTGCTTGAAAGGTAAGGCACCACGTACTCCTTTTCCGAACGAATCCAAATCGAAAGCACCAATGGACCTGGTGCATATGGACGTTTGCGGTACTTCTTCTTCTTCTTTCCTTTATTTAACGTCGGTCTCTGTTCCGCAATCTAGTTCCAATCACCGACGGACATCGATTGCCATCCATTGACGACAATCGAATGTGCAGAAAGGCAGCTTCCACACCTGCGTAGGATATCGCATCCATTCAACACACATGGGCCGGGACCAACGGCTTTACTTCCCTTCCGAAGGAAGACGTGACCAAAGATTTTTATGCCTCAGAAAAATCCCACCGACCTCGGCTGGGATTGAACCCAGACCGATTGGGGTCACGCTTACCACTACACCACCGGCGCCAGCGGACGTTTGCAGGAGTCGTCGGTCAGTGGTTATCAGTATTTCATTACCATAATCGGCGACCACAGTCGCTATTGCATACTCTACCTCCTGAAAGAGAAATCGGAGGTCGCCACGAAGATCGAGGTGTATGTCGACTTTGCCAAAACGCATTTCGGTCGGAAGCCAAAAGTAATCCGCTCCAATCAGGGTGGCGAGTATAGCGGGAAGCAGTTGCGTTCCTTATACAAGCGTAAAGGGATCACACCCCAATACACCGCCAGCTACCCACAGAAAAATGGGATCGCGAAACGGAAGAACCGTTCCCTCTTCGAAATGGTACGGTATGCTGATTTCCTTGTTAAAAGGTAAATGTAATAAGGTAGGGAACGAAAAGCTATGTTTGTTTGGCCAATGTCACTGACGCTATACATATTCTTCATCTTCTTAAGTTTTGAAAGTATTCAAAAAAGAAAAACAATGCTACACGGCCAATCATACCAACTCAGCGTCTGGGATTAATTTACTCAGAGAATTTTTTTTCCATACGCAATTTACTCAGATAAGGAATAAACTGCAGTTACTCACAAGCTATCAGTAACTGCAGTTTATTCCAAATCTGAGTAAATTTCGTATGGAAAGAAAATTCTCTGAGTAAATTAATCCCAGTCGCTGAGTTGGTATGATTGGCCGTGTAGGATTAGCAGGGTAAGGTAGGCCAAGATGGGTCAGCTAGTACATGTATTAATTTATTTGTTTGTCAAAATCAATAGGTTCAATAGAACCTCAATGGTGGTTTGCTTTTCCAAACCAGCATTAGGGATATTGAGCCTGTTGATTTAATCGATTAAAAAATAAATCTTGCCTCACCCTACCCTATTTTTTTTTAACTAAAATCAAAATAATTTTAACTTCTAGGAATTTATTTATTTATTCATTGTTACATGCAGATGAAATGTCATTCGAAAGCCAAATATACGTGTCCTACTTGTGGAAAAACAACTAACTACATACGAAGCTATAAATCTCACATGTCAAATTGTAAGGGAATCCCAACGATAATCAATATAAATAAAACCATGCTCTTGCCACATGATGACCACGGACAAGACCAAAGACAATCAACGGTTAATCCATCCACCATACTTGATGGTGCTGCCTTGAAGAAAAACGCAAATAACCACGAAGCAGTTTGTTCGATTGCAAAGAGTGATACTCAAGCCGGTGCAAAAGAGATTACTGAAAAGCAATATTTTTGTACCATCTGTAGAATTAGTTTTTCTACTAAAGAACAAGGCAAATATCATAAGGTTCGTTAGTTGAAATATTCACTCTAGTTTTCACCTTATAATACTGTTTTTCTCTTCGTTTTTTCAGCTCAAATATCACACGAAAGGGAAACACCAATGTCCCCACTGTTTGAAGAAATATCACCGAACCGGAGATTTAAAAAAACATGTTCCAGTTTGTGCGGGTAGAAAATCTGCCTGTGATTTGTGTGGTAAAAAAGTCAAAAACCTGAGTATGGTCAAACAGCACATGAAACGAATCCATCATGTTGACAACAGCCGTAGAAAAAAATCGGATATCGAAGTAACGAATAGCACTGAGGAACAAAAGCCAGGCAGAGTTGAGACGAAAGATTACAGTGGAGAGAATTCATCTTTAAATAAGGTAACGGAGATGTCGAAAAACCGTCCAGTGGAACATCTTGTGTCAAATGTTCTTACTGTGAAAAAATGTTTTCGAAAGAAAAGTCTCTATCTCGTCACATTGAACTCGGCCACATACCATTGTTTTGTCTATTTCAGCTCACTTATCCTCGGCAGCAGCTGGCAAAGCACGTTGATTCTCAATCTGATACAGAAGGAATCTCATTGCTCCAAGGTGAGCACTCACCCAGCGGATCATGTATGGCTGTCCATGGTGCCAAAGAAGTTCAAACTAATTTCATGAATTTGCCAGAAGAAGACTATATTGATCTTAAAATGGAAATCCAAGCGGAGGACACAATGCTACAGGAACAGGAAAACCAAGTACCAAATAATAACCGAGAGAAATCATCAACCACAACTTCGGACAGTGTTAGTCAGCTTGAACCTTGCAAGGTTTGTGTAGTTTTACCAGACATAACACATTGAATATTTCTCAGTTTAAAACACTACTGCCATCTGATGAGTACACTGTGACTGGTAGTACGCTCAACAGATTGCGATAGTGTATAAACGTCAAACGCAAGGCAAATAAATCAAGATAATCATATCAGTCATTCACTTCGCTTGGTTTTTTATGCAACTAGCGAACATAGCACAACATATTTAAGTTTTAACATATTATTGCCATTTCACATGCAGCAGCCGGATGACGGTAAATCAAAGGTCGTTGCATCTGAGGATACAGATCATGTAACTGGAATCGCCATCAAAGTGGAATGCCCAGGAGATGAAGAAGAAGAGGAGACCTTAATCGTTCCACAAAGTACAATGGAACCAATGGACCTTATACTTCATGGAACTGATGATCAGGAGAAGGCAAAATGCAGCAACAAGTATTCCCATCCTTCCTCAGAACTGTTATGTACCAAATGCGATGTCAAGTTTACTTCACGCCATCAGTTAAATTGTCATATGGTGCGCACAGCGATAACAATGTAATCAGTAATGTTAATAATGAACGGTCCTTTTTACCAACTTGCAGAAAAAGATACACACTGAACCTCGTTTAAAGTGCCCAGAATGCGAAAAATCGTTCAACAATCAACGCGTCCTTCGGAATCATATGGAGGTCCACTTAAAGGCCGCCAAGAAGGAACTTGGTGGCAAGAATCACTCGTCGGATGGTTCCGAACTTCGCAGATCAAAGAGGACGAGGGTGATAAAGAAAAAATGATTTGGTAAGAAAACTCCAGTTTTAAATGCACATTTTGCCAGTCGGGACAGACAGCAGACGTTTGACCAGTGCTTCAAATTGTCAGTCGTGGTGTAACAAACAACCACATATTTCGCCATATTATTATATTTTCGGAATATAATAGGTGGGTATAATGACGCAGCTCGCACTCGGATTTTTCTGTCATACCTACCACGAGCAACTATAAGCTTGTTCGACTTGCTTTGCAATTTTCTTTATTTTTGCGGTGAAAAGCCTATAAAAAATTCAAATTACATGTAGATTAATTTTCTATTGTTCCCGTGGTCATACGTCAACATCTCGACCGAGTTCGACCAGTTAGAATTTACTCACACTAAATAGTGCGAGCTGTTTCAACCATATCACATTCGGTTATATTTTGGCTGAATGGACACCGGCACAAGTAACTCGAAGTAGGTTGGGTCGGCTGAATGAACGAGCGCTCTTTATACAAAGCTAATATTAATATTCTCTTTATATGAATTAATTAATAATTATGTTGGTTACTATAATACAACAAATGTATTAATAAATCTTTATTCAGTTTGTACGTATTGTGAAAATTCTTCCATACATGTGATACAGTTCAAAAACTAGTTTATTGCTTTGATTGTTAAATACCTAATACATTAAAATCTTGTAAGGAAAATGACGGATTCGGAAATACCTTCACCTAAACTGTACCACACAGAGTACGGTGGCTCTGTTCGAATAAAACCTCAGACCATTCAAATCGAAACATCCAAATCGCCTTTTCGAATGATAGCTGCAACTGGATGACGGTTGTTTTTAAATCAGATGATTTTCCTCTCGAATACAGGATGAACATTGTTATGAGAAGGAATAGGGCCTTCAGTTGGAATGCATAATGCTCTCTTCAGAATGATAGTCATCTTAAATTGAAAGGCATTTGGTATTGCCCGCATAAACAATAACCATGAGATGCGCCTAACCACCAATTCGGGATATAATTCTAACTTTATGTGGTACGGTCGTACAATCTATGATATCGTTAGTGTATGGCACCCGTTTATTAGATTGTGCTACATTTCCCCGAATGTCGTTTCCCCGAATGTCACTTCCCCGAACGCCATTTCCCCGAATGTGCCATTTCCCCGAATGCCATATCCCCGAAAAAAAAAATTAGGAAATTTCCAACCGTTATTGCTGGCAATTTTCTTACTATATTTTGAGCACAGTGAGCAGATTGCAAACCAGATTAAATTTCAAGCCATGCAAATGGAAGGTTTATGAGATTAACCCAACTACCAATTAATTTGCTTCGAGTAGCTAGAAACGCATTGCCAAAGCACATGATGCTCAACTATGCCCCTCTTTTCCCTATATTAATGTATTGAGCCGTTAAAACCATTTTCATTTTTATATATAGAATAATAATCCAAAACCAAAAAGGCAGACCAAAACCAAAGAGCACAAACAATTTGGCAAAATATCGTCGGTTTGACAAATTGGTTATACATTTTAAGGAGATTTTGCCTTCTTTTATTTACGAGCAATTCTTTCGAGAACTTTGGAAAAAACATGAGAGATCGATGGTTTGACAAAATGGTAAAATATTTTTAATCCTACTTTTTTACATAAGCAGTTCTTTCGGGAAATTTAGCAAAACTTGTTTCGGAAATTATTGCAATCAAATTTCAACAGGTGACAGTAATAAACAGAAGTTATGGCGATTTGTTTTGTACGCATACAACCGGAAAATGTTTATTTTATTAAATTAGAGCCTTTTTCTTGGCCCTTTCAAAAAAAATATTGGTACAGAAGGTGGCTTATATTATGGCGCAACACCCCTACCAAGTATTTTTTCTCGTTTCGCCTCAACAAACGAAAATTTAATAAAAATGTTGAAATCTGCATACATTATTTTTCGGTTTAACTTTTCGTCCATAGAAGGTCCCTGTCCAAGGATGAGAGGCTTGATGATGATTTGTCAAGCAAGTGTCGCTATGTTTTTTATGCAATTTGTTAAAATTTTAGTTTTTTTCAGCTCATTGATTTGAACGGTTCAAGCGAGTTAATTTCACGGAGCCGGAAATTGTAGTTTTATCATAATTTTAATATTAGCATAAAATAAAATAGTAATTTTAAATTCGCTTTTGTAATGCTAAAGTAAATAGTTTGCTTTGAGTGTAAAGTTAATTTATAAGAAAGTTCTAACAGTTTTTTTGCACTTCGAAACTTGACGGGTCATACCTCTAACATAGTAGCAGTGACAGTGTCGCATGTCCTAACAACAACTGCCTGCGACTAGTGTTCGAGGGGCCGACAGGGCTGAATAAGGGTCAATACTAGCAAAACTATAACACTAACATGACCCCGAAACTAACGTTCATCCATTGCACAGACAAACAGACATAACACATTGAATATTTCTCATTGTAAAACATCGTCGCTAAAACATTACCGCCACCTGTTGAGTACACTGTGGTGGGTAGTACGCTGCACAGATGGCGGTAGTGTGTAAACGTCAAACGCAAGGGAATTTTCTATGCGCGCCACAGGTGGTAGTACTACCAACTGAGATACTTTCAAATTGACCGTTAAATGCTTGTTCGATGAACAACTTATGAGTGTTATGTCTGTTTGTCTGTGGTTATAATGTAGTTGTACTTTCCTACACTCAAAGATAAATTAAATCAAAAAAGCTTAAAAAGTATGCAGATTCCCGCTTCACCTTATTGAGTCCGAGCCATGATTACTTCGGCAGTAGTCATGCATGATTTAAATCGAAATAATCTTTCCAGCATTAAATTTTATTCTTTTTCAATACTGATATATAGTCAAAAAAGATTAAAATTCAATCAAAAATGATTAAAATTTATTCAAAAAAGATAATCTACAATCTTATCAATCATGATTAAACTGGGATTAATATAAGATGCTTATTTTTTAGAAAGAGAGGATAAATTTTTAATCATTCGATATGATTAAACTGAGTTTAATGTCAAATTGATTAAATTTCAAGCAAAATGAGAATAGTTCAATTTATCAGTGTAATAACCCAATTATCACAGACAAACAGACATAACACTCGCATTTTGTTCATCGAACACGCATTTGACGATCAATTTGAGCGCACGGTCGGTTCCCTTGCGTTTGACGTCTGCGCACTAGCGCCATCTGTTCAGCGTACTATCCGTCACCTGATACTCAACAGATGGCGGTAGTGTTTTAGGGACTACTGTGTGTGTGTGTGTGTGTGTGGGGGGGGGGGGGTAACCAATACTAATAACTTTCTCTCTGTTCTTTTATTCGTTTTCTATATCCCTTCACCATCACCCCATATCCCATCATTTTGACGAGAGATGAGTTACTTGCATGGTGCACGCCCAAGTCGTACTACAGGATAATATGTCGAGCGTGGTTATATCACAAAAACCACGCAGGAACGGAAATCGATGGAGCTGAGGAATAATGAGGTAAATTCTACACAGTATTTTAAAGGAGCCAACTCTAAGCAGGTTATAATAGCAATTAATAATTAAACAACCATAAAAAGGTAAGAATGAATTTATTTATTTTAAATACAGTAATGACCCGATTTTGTCAGCCCCTCCGCGCTTCAGACTTTTTTCTTTAAATAATTTCACATAATCATTTTTTTTTTTTTGTAGTGATCCAGTGGCAGCACTTGCTTAAACTCTACACTGGACCCCTTTTATTGATAAATTTTGCTTCTATGAGCCTCTATTTTAAATCAACACACAAACGTTCCTAGGCTATGGTGCCCATTTGGTCACTGTTGTTTTTGTGCTGATCCAAATAGTTTTGATAATATAATTGCGCATTCTTTTTTTTTAAGGTTGATTTTTGTCCCAGTCTTGTCTTCTGTCGTCACTTATTTTGTCATTTTGTCTTGTGTATTAACCCCCACTTGTCTTGTTTATTGTGTCAACTTGTGTCTATTGTCCTTCCCCATTTGTTTTTCGTTCTGTTACTCTGTCATGACTAATTTCATTGATATATAAAAATAGTAATATCAATTACAGGATAATATGGTTGTTTCTCGATTACTTTTTCAAAGGGAAGCACCAGCTCCTGAAAACAATGCATCCGATCGTCGATCCGGCGCTACCGGCAGCTCGCGCACGCCTGCCAACACCACTACCAGGTAGAGGAAAATTTCCCTATCTGATGATAGTGCTAGCATGCGTGGGCGAGCCACCAGCTACGCCAAATCGACGACCAAACGCACCGCCCACAAAAGCCGATACGCTCCCTTGAAAAAGTTATCGAGATTTCTACTAATTAATGAATTATAGACAATTACCTCTCATGATCCTTGGCTCCACTATGATTTAACTTACCACTTTTTGATTATTTATCAAATACCTCACCGAGTATATAACGCCCATAACGCCCCGATGCCTTGTTGATTTCTGGTCTCATTTGGATTGGTCCTGAATTTGTTTGACATCCTGTTCGAAGTAATTCTTTGAGTTCCAGCTTGTTCGTGTCTCACGTCATATGATTCGCCATTCATAAAGATAATGGGTTAAAAGGGAGTAAAACATACATAAAGGTAGATTAGTATTAGGTGTACTTGATCCAAACAATAGAAAGAAGTATAGATGACTTAGTAGAAAAATAAAACTAATATATAACTAAAAGTGCAATGGATAAGTGTTAATTCCGGGATTATTTTAGTGTTAGTAGTTATGTTAGTTTTGATCCGTATTCAGCCCTGCCGGCCCCTCCAGCACTATTTGCAGCAATTGTGATAAGATTATGCGACACTGCTACTACTACTATGTTAGATGTATGACTTGTCAATTTTCGCAACGCAATGTCTTTCAATAAATCACTCAATCACTTTGATGTCTGAAAATTTGCTCAAAAGGGTTTTGTTGACACATCATACCTTACCTAAAGCACAACAATCCTAATTCTTATTTCAAACCCATCAACATATTTAACACATCTTTCCTAAAACTTTACTTGTTCGTAAGCGTCTGGTTGAAGATATGACTTTCGCTATTAACATTGCCTGTAATTAACAAATACACTAAATAGGAAGATTTATTATACAACTTCAAAGGCTAGTCGCCTCCCTAAGCGGACCCCCCGCGTCCTATCTCTTATGTTAATTAACTTTCTGAATTCTCTAATTGAAGTTTATTTAATAAATAACTGAAATCTCTAATCTACCTACACAATCATAACCCATGCTTTTAAACTTAAATTTAACGTGTTTCAAGTACTTCTGGCTTTGACATATATTAATTATATCTTTGTTCGTCCCAGGTGACACCTTCAAGTGACTAAAATGCTTCACTTTGAAGTAAGTTTCCAAGCTAATTTTAAATTGTATATTGTATAGGATAAATGTTCCAACTGCGCTCTCACGTTTCCACTATGTCGCACCACAAAAATACATATGGGTATGTCACAATAAAAGCACACCACAGTGGAAATCCTGAGTCACAGTTCAAACACTTATCCCAAATCAAAATGAAGCACATATAAGATTAGTTACAATACCATGTACAAAAATGGTGTTTAACATTGTTTCCTGAGTAATACTTCAATGATAACAACAATGAAAGCTTGTCACGCATATAGAAGGAGCACCGATAGGCACTTTCTGAAATATTTCAATAGTATAATTCCCTTGCAAACCCAAATAAATCTATCTGCGTAAAAAATAAATAAATTAAGAGTGATTTGCGGCAAAACCCGCCAGTATCACACCCAACGTCAGTGCCTATACATAAGCGTACTACGACGCGGCTCTCAATCGAAGGAGTAACAAGTGTGATACTATCACTGCTAGACTAGATCTTTGGTTCTCTCATGCAGTGGTTTATCAGAGAGGGGAAGCTTAGTAATCCCCATTACCTGCCCATGACGCCATTCTATCGCGGCATGAGCCAGCAACGCCGGCCATAAACCTACCGTCTCCAACACTCCACTAAAAAGCATGAAATTAAGCCCGCCCACCAACATCAAGGTGCAAAAACTAGCTAAGGGGAGGGTTAAATAATTTCACATAATCATAAATCTAAATTTTTCTCATTCATCGTTAAGAGGGATATTTAAAGTATACTTTGGTGCAATAGGTTCAAGAAGATTACTGAAAAAGGGCATGGGTTTTGTAGAATATTGGAAAACATTTTCAAAAAAGGGGACTGACAAAATCGGGACATTACTGTATTCCATTTTCATTTACATGATTTATCACATATTTTCGGAGAGCTTCGAGGTTGAAGCGTAGTTGCTTTTGTAGATAGGTATGTCATTTGCCGGTTTCTCGCGGATTGGGTCTCAGTCTGGAAAAACTAATAACACAAACAGGTAGAGGAATAGTTCCTCTATGATTTGGTATAGTTTGTTTGCAGGATTGTTCTTTTGTTCGTGGGAGACCGGCGATTGACGTGTTTGTTTGCAGGGGCGATTGCGCCCAGATCTCGGGGTTCTCCGGATTTATGGTCGTAATCTAATACACACAGTTGATCACAATACGAGCCTAAAAGCTGCAGTGACCTAGTGAGCACCATAGCTCGAGTCGTCTGAAAGTATTGTGTATCGCATGGAGAGCCCAACCGAGATGCTAGCCTATTAAGACTGCAGTTGGTCAACTCTCGAAAAAAAAAAAAACTTTTCGTTCATAGAAGGTGGTGCTATGCTGGCAGTAGTTGTGAGTGTAAATTCCTCGATTCATTTGTCAAATCAGTTTTGCCAAATTCCTCGATTTGAATTTATAAAAGAAAAAATCTCGTAAAACTATGTTATCAATTTTCGACCTCACATATTGTCTAAGTTCTCGGAAGACTGCTCGTTTATAAAAAAGGGAAAAATTTCCTCAAAATACATTACCAATTTTTCAAACCGTCAATCTCACAAGTTTTGAGAAAGTTTTCGAAAAAAAAAAATTATAAAAGAAGGATAAAATACGTCTACGGCTGAAAATCTCCTTAATAAATTTAAAAAGAAGGGAAAATATCCTAACAATATATTACTAATCTGTCAAATCATCGATATTAGTTTTGCCAAAGTTCTCGAAAGAACTGCTCATGTATAAAATAAGGGAAAATGTCCTAAAAATATGTTACCAATTTTTAAACTTCCACTTCTGGTACTGCCGCCGCCTCACTAAAACCAGCAATCAATACGAAACTAACGATTTTAAATTGGCTCACTACTTGACTAGCCTATTGGTCCCAAGCAAACGATTAACGTATCCCATTCTAGTCGAAATTCTAGTACTACGCAATGTTTGTTTTGATTTGCTATGAAAGTTTGACAGATAAAATGAGGGGTTATTGGTTTTTCTTATGTTTCGAGGGGTGAATCGATTAGCTTGGGACCGAAGATAGTACCAGAGCTGAGCCAAAAAGTTGAGCACGTTATTTCGGGACCTTCTAGTCTTAGAGTTACCTCTATGCTAAAACTCTCGCCCCATTGATTTACTTTGAACAGAGATTTTCCCTTCTTTTAATCATGAGCTGTTCTTTTAAGGTTAATTGTTGCAATATTCAAAGATGTCTTCTTAATGCTCGCGAAACCAACCTTAGAAATGAAATACAGTCAAAGTATTTTATAAATTTTTGGATTTCATTCGAGGAAATTACATTCGGGAAATGGGATTCGGGGAAATGGCGTTCGGGGAAGTGACATTCGGGGAAACGACATTCGGGGAACTGTAGCACATTCGTTGATTACGGTGGTTCAGCCCCTTAAAGCAAATCATTCAAAACTATGATATAAATAATTCTACTGAACGTCATTTGCTGCTCTGAGCAGACAAACGAGGTGGAAGCATACCCTGAACGAGAACATCCGCAATAGTTTGACTGATTATTGTATTGCTCGAGCCCTTTAACAATATGCTGTCGAATTTTGGATGATTTCCTTATGGTTGAATTATTCGTCATCAACTGATGAGCATCCATATGACTGTCTTCCAAATAAAGGGTGATATTTAGTTGAAAATTGGCTGTAAAACATACAGGGCTCAGCTTTTAGGTTGCATCTTTTGCATACATGGAACAGCGAGCCATTGAACATTTAGAAGACACGAATAATTTGAAACAACTTTTCACAACAGTAGTATATCGAAAAATCAACCAAAATAAATGTTTACGAAATGAACGTAAACAAATTCGACAATCAAAACAAAAACAAATTGTATGCATACCATGACAGTCTACAAACGTTAGTGTGTATAAAATGAATCTTCTGCAGTGGCATTATAGTCGCTATATTCATAGTCAGGCGGATAGAATTTCGATCCATCAAAAAGCGGAACCAATTCAATATATTGTAGACCAACAATTGAAAAGGCACTATCAACTTTTATAAACAAAACGTTGATTATTCTTTCCTCGCCAATCGAACACAAATTACCGGCATCATCGGATAGAGGAAACTTTCCTCAACCCAAAGATGGTGTTAGTTAGCGTAGGCAAGCCTTGAGTCACGAGAAAAGGGTTTCCGAAGTTTTGTTCGCAATAGCTGATGTGCTCTTTTCTGTTGTTGGTCATGATTTGCTCGATTGGTTCCGCTATTTGACGGCTTAATAGGTTCCCGAGATTCTATCCGCCAGACTATGAATATAGCGACTATAAGTGGCATATGTATTGTATAAAAATAGCATATGTATTGCTGTGAGAACTGTCAAAATCCTATGAATTTACACGCAGCAATCTCACGAACACTACACTATTGGGCTATCCAAGTAGAATCTTAAGCTGGGTTTAGACAGGGCAAGTCAATTGATCAAGTCAGTTGAATTCAACTGACTTGAACGCGAATTGAACGTGTAAACAGGTGTAAACCATGCTATTCAACTGACTCGATCAACTAACTTGAATTGAAAAAAAAAAGTTGAACCAGGCTCAACTTTTCAAGCCAATTGAATTCAACTGAGTTGATCATTTGACTTGCCTAGTCTAAACCCAGCTTTACGAACATTGCTGGAGCTGGAGAAGATTATACCCTAATAAACAAATACCATAAACGAACTGTATCTCGGATGGGTACACGATGGGAAATACATAGGTGCCACAGTCGGAAGAAGTGTTAGTTTGTTTACATAAATGAACCATGCTCATTTTGTTATGGCATGTTTGCTATAAGAAATGCGCCTCGTGTTTATTAGCGAATTTCACATCAAAGATTGATTAATTGAGTAGGAAATCAGTTTGGCACGGCATTTGTGACCAGCATACACCTTCCGGTAGTATGAAACAGGTCAAAAACTGTTCAAATCCGCAGATAAAAATTTTTGTTTTGAATTTCTGTATAGCAAAATAGTGAACTTTTCGTGAACATTAACGGCAAAGAACTCACCAACACTGGGAGACTGTGAGTTCCTGCCCACCTGTCATTTACCATCGTGGGATGGGTAAACCTGTAATAAGGCCCTCTGTGTCGTAATGTATGTTGTTAGCAGTGTGTCATTCACTTGCTCACATTGTCATTCGCTTGCTCAGCAATGTTTACAACATGTTTGCCTCTAACACCAGCAAGCTGCCTGTTGTTCCAGACCAAGACGGTTTTATGACAGGTAGGCAGGAACTCACGGTCTCCCAGTGTTGGTGAGTTCTTTGCCGTTAATGTTCACGAAAAGTTCACTATTTTGCTATACAGAAATTCAAAACAAAAATTTTTATCTGCCGATTTGGACAGTTTTTGACCTGTTTTATACTACCGGAAGGTGTATGCTGGTCACAAATGCCGTGCCAAACTGATTTCCTACTCAATTAATCAATCTTTGATGTGAAATTCGCTAATAAACACGCGGCGCATTTCTTATAGCAAACATGCCATAACAAAATGGGCATGGTTCATTTTAGTAAACAAACTAACACTTCTTCCGACTGTGGCACCTATGTATTAGGCGCCGAGGTTCCAGACCTTGTATGTGTCAATCATATGGTAGTAGGTCGAGACGGTTTTATGACAGGTGTGCAGGAACTCACAGTCTCCCAGTGTTGGTGAGTTCTTTGCCGTTAATGTTCACGAAAAGTTCACTATTTTGCTATACAGAAATTCAAAACAAAAATTTTATCTGCGGATTTGAACAGTTTTTGACCTGTTTCATACTACCGGAAGGTGTATGCTGGTCACAAATGCCGTGCCAAACTGATTTCCTACTCAATTAATCAATCTTTGATGTGAAATTCGCTAATAAACACGAGGCGCATTTCTTATAGCAAACATGCCATAACAAAATGGGCATGGTTCATTTAAGTAAACAAACTAACACTTCTTCCGACTGTTACACCTATGTATTAGCCGTCTCGGTAGTAGGTAATCTTATGTATTCTACGCGGTTCAGTTGATGTTTCGATGCGTCTTTTGCGGCGAAGACTACGTGAGCAAGGAAGAACTGGTGAATCATCTGGACCTGCATAAGGTAAGAAGCGATCATGATTCATCCGTCATAGCCAATCCATGCCGAAATCGCAAGCGTAACTATTCAAATCGACGTGTCTGATTTTGTAAACAATCACTTCAATCGACGATTTGAGGCAAAAGTGGCAAATCGGGCAAATGCTAGCTCACTCACAGAAACTAACAACAGCTAGTTATAGTCGCTATATTCATAGTCTGGTGGATAGAATTTCGATCCATCAAAAAGCGGAACCAATTCAATATATTGTAGACCAACAATTGAAAAGGTACTATCAACTTTTATAAACAACACGTTGATTATTCTTTCTTCGCCAATCGAACGCAAATTACCAGCATCATCGGATAAGGGAAACTTTCCCCAACCCAAAGATGGTGTTAGTTTGCGTAGACGAGTCTTGAGTCACGAGAAAATGGTTTCCTTAGATTTGTTCGCAATAGCTGATGTGCTCTTTTCTGTTGTTGGTCGTGATTTGCTCGATTGGTTCCGCTATTTGACAGTTCAATTGGTTCCCGAGATTCTATCCGCCAGACTATGAATATAGCGACTGTACATCAAAAGTAGGGGAAAGATTCCCCTACCTGATGATGGTGTTTGTTTGGGTGGGTGAGTTAGCAGATAAAACAAATCATCGATTGAAGTGATTGTTTACAAAAACAGGTATACGTCGATTTGAATAGTTACGCTTGATGGTGTTTTGTGAAAAGATTGCAGATGATCGTAAGGAATACTCGCGTCACTTTTCAAAACGTCCTAAGTAATAAATCTAGATAGAGCTGGAGTTAGGGCGTAACAGCTTTTGTAAACAATGACTTCTCTCGATGATTTCTAGAAAGCCAAGACTCACTCACTCAAATCAGCGTCACCATCGGGTAGGGGAAGACTTCCACTTCCCGTTGGTTATGTTGGTTTGCTTGGGCGCGAGATGGGAAATGACAGGTGGGCAGGAACTCACGGTCTTCCAGTGTTGGTGAGTTCTTTGCCGTTAATGTTCACGAAAAGTTCACTATTTTGCCATACAGAAATTCAAATCAAAATTTTTTATCTGCGGATTTGGACTGTTTTTGACCTGTTTCGTACGACCGGGAGGTGTATGCTGGTCACAAATGCCGTGCCAAACTGATTTCCTACGCAATTAATCAATCTTTGATGTGAATTTCGCAAATAAACACGAGGAGCATTTCTTATAGCAAACTTGCCATAACAAAATGGGCATGGTTCATTTAAGTAAACAAACTAACACTTCTTCCGACTGTTACACCTATGTATTAGCCGTCTCGGCTTGGGCGTGCCTTGAGTTTCGAGAAATCATCGAGAGAAGTCATTGTTTACAAAAGCTGTTACGCCCTAATTCCAGCTCTATCAAGAAATATAAACAAATCGATTAGATTACAAACTATTGCTCTTCTAACATTGTATGTGATACAAAAACACCCATCCAAATTACCTATAATTTATTTAATATAATCATAGGTCAAAAATTGTCCAATGTACAGTTTGAAATGATGGGAACGTGATTGTTACTTTGAACATTTGGACTGTCTAATATGATTGGGGCCTCATAGTCTAGTCAGTAAAAGGCACGGTATTACCAACAATCAATACGAAACTAACGATTTCAAATTGGCTCACTACTTGACTAGCCCTCGGACTAGCCTATTGGTCCCAAGCAAATGATTAACATACCCGATTATAGTCGAAATTCTAGTACTACACAATGTTTGTTTTAATTCGCTATAAAAGTTTGACAGATAAAATGAGGGGTTATTGGATTTTTCTATGTTTCGAGGGGTGAATCGATTAGCTTGGGACCGAAGATAGTACCAGAGCTGAGCCAAAAAGTTGAGCTCGTTTCTTCGGGATCTTCTGGTCTTAGAGTTATCTCTATGGTATTACCAAACCGGAGGCGGCGGGTTCGATTCCCGGTCCGGTCGAGGGAATCTATCGGGTTGGAGATTTTTTCGCTTGCCACACAATATACAAATTCATGCATTGGTATTGGTATCGAAAGCTCTCAATTAGTAACTGTAGAAGTGCATTTAGAACACTAAGATGAGAGCACGCAATAAGCTAATATGCTCTAAGCAATAAGCTTGAAATGCGAATAAGAAGATGAAGAACATGATTGGTGCTCATTTTCTAAAGACGGGGCATGGTTAGGCTAGGTATTCTATTCTGAAATCTGTGAAAGGGAATCTAGTATCATGCAGAACAAAACGTCCAATGTAACACTCATTGATTATGTCATCGAGAAAAATCGTTCAATGTAACATGTCCAATGTAAAACTTTACTAGTTAAAACGTCCTATGTTTTTTCTCTATATTGTAGCATGAAATTCAAAGTAAAATTGTGATTTTAACGTTTCAACTGAATTTTCAAAGTCATTATTCACTGACTATAGTAAAAATAGTATTGCCAAATGTATTGTTTCTAAACAGTTAACATAATAATCTGTCGTTGAAGTTCGATTTTCTCAAAATGGCGAATATATTACATTGGTCTATTTGAAAAATGACGCGAGAATTGCACTATCAGGAAATAAAAGCAACACAAGAGAGGAATTTAAATATTCACGGAGAAAATTGATTTTCGTAATGCATTCACAAAGTTTAAACAAGAAATCGTAGACTAGCGTTCGAGTGAGCAGCTAGTTGCTAACATGAATGATGACGGTACGGATAGGCATACGATCGACGAGGAATCCAGACTGCTTTCTGATGATACTGGGAATGATAGTACACACCTCACCTCAAAACAGCAATATTGGTGCGACATATGTGAAACTACTTTTCCTAATTATGCCCAAGCCAAATATCATAGGGTTCGTTTGATTGAAAATGTCGTTTATATTTTCTCTTTGTAATACTGTTTATGTTTTCAGTTGACGAGGCACACAGAAGGGAAGCACAAATGTCCACATTGTTTCAAAAAATGGCACCGGAAAGAAGACTTTAAAATACATATGACAGTTTGCGGAGACCGAAAAATTTCCTGTGAATTGTGTGGCAAAAAGTTCAAACGCCTATATGGTGTCAAACGACACAAGATACGAGTCCATCATGTTAACGGACCTTTGAAAAAAGTGAATAGGGAAGATTGCATTGAGGAGCAAAACCAAAAGCAAAACAGCGTTGAGAAGATAGATTCTGAAAAATCGTCAATAGATTGCAATGGAGAAAATTCAGCTTTGATTAAAGTGAATGATTCCTTTATGCATGATGCGGTTAAGGTAACACAGAATAATTTGCAGCCACACGTTGATAATCATTCTAGTGGATCATACAACACAAAATGTTCCTACTGTGAGAAATGTTATTCTAATGAAGGCTTCCTACGTCGTCATATCGAACAATGCCATGTACCATTCCCATGTAATATCTGTGGAATAACCTTTGATAATGGTTTTAAACTACGGTATCATAATGTATGTTGGTTGAAATTGACCTATCTACTTTCTATATTTAATACAGTCTACATTTTACATAATAGATTACGAAGCACATGGATCCGAAGCACAGATGCCCTCATTGCCCGCAGACATTTGAAAAAACCTCACGGTATGAGGTACACTTACCCATGTGCAAGGGTAGGAAGTTTTCCTGTAATCTATGTGACAAAAAATTCAAAGCCCTTCGATTTGTTGTCAAGCATAAAAAAGTAATTCATCACGATAAGGAAGCTAGCCATTGTCATAAAAATGGCAGTGAAGGACAAAACCAAAAACAAACTAAGATGATTGCACTCAAAACAGGAGATGCAGCTCATCAGATGGCAATTTGTACCATTTGCGGGATGACGTTCTCTAGTGCTGATGAGCTGATGGATCATAAGGTTTGCATGGCGATTCATGATTTTATTTTACGTATCTTATTTACTTTACTTGCTCTTGAGAATCGATCAGATTGATGATCAGATGTTATTTCTTTAAAGCACTGGTGTTGGGAGTAAGCAGCAGATTGCATTGCATTGTTTGTCTATTTTAGCTCACTTTCCCTCAGCAGCACGTTGATGTTCAATCTGATACAGACGATATCGCACTGCTTCAAGGAGTTAATTCACCCAGCGGATCATATATGGCTGTCGAAGGCGTGAAAAAGTTTCAAAATAGTTGCATGATTGTGCCACAAACTGCGACCAATGAAATCAAAATGGAAATTCAAGTAGAGGACACAAGGCTGCAAGAACAGGAATACCATGTTCCAAATGATGACCAAGACCAACCATACACCACGACTTCGGCCTATGTCAGTCAGCTTGAAATGGACAAGGTTTGTATTTTTATGAACATGTAGCACCTATTATAATAAGCTATCTACAAAACCCTAATATATAGTGTCCGTTAAAAGCTGCAACGAAAATTAACCGTTACTCTTATTGCCATTTCACATATAGCATCCACATGGCGGTAAATCAAAGGATGTTGCATATGAGGATGAAGATCATGTAGCTGAAATTAAAATAAAAAAGGAATGCCTAGAAATTGAATAAAATGCAGAAAACACCTTAATCGTACCTCAGGGGGACAACGGAATGTTTGAAATATAATGGAAATCCCAACGATCGAAACAGTTCCTTTATACATCATGAAGCTGATGATCACAACAACAAAAATCCTCATGGCGGCATTTTCGACAAGATGTATTAGCATCCTTCCTCAGAGCGTGTGTGATTTCAAGCTTACTTCACGTCATCAACTAAATTATCATATGGTACGTACAGCATTAACAATCTTATGTAGGAGGTTTAATGTCCCTAATTTCGCCTAAGTGTCCCTAATATTGGGCCCACCAAAACTATCCACTTGCACATATCAGGAGATTTTTGTCGATGGCACCGTTCACATTACAGCGTATATCACGTGATATACGCTGTCTTGCAATAAGCACTCATACATCTAGTTTTCACTGGAAATCGTATGTATGAGTGCTCATTGCAAGACAGCTTATATTACGTGATATAGGCTCTAATGTGAACGGGGTATTAGATCCATATATCTAGATAGAGCTGGAATTAGGGCGTAACAGCTTTTGTAAACAATTACTTCTACAGATGATTTATAGGAATTTAAGGCACGCCCACGAAGACCAACCTAACCATCGGATAGGGGAAGTCTTTCCCTACCCGATGAGAATGTTGGTTCGCGTGGGCGAGCCTTGAGTTTCTAGAAATCATCAAGAGAAGTCATTGTTTACAAAAGCTGTTAGGCCCTAATGCCAGGTCTATCTAGATATGGCCTATAGGCCAACTTTAGAGCCATTTTCTCTATCTGATTGTTTACACTCTTTGGAGGGTTCCGAACTTTGTGGATCATAGAGAATGAAGGAAAAAATGAAATATGATTTGATGAAGATAAGCCAGTTGTAAATGGTAAGTTGGTGGTGTTTTGTTTGTATGGACTAGAGAAACCTGTTCGGGATATTTCGCTATATTTTTCCGGAATATGATGTGTATATGAATGAATTAATATATTACTTCCTATAATTTCAACCGAAAAAATAATATGGGTATTCACAAAGCGCATAGTAAAAGTAAACACCGCATTACACTCCAATGGACACTAGTATTTTTTACGATAGTGTATATGTTTACGATGCGCATAGTGAAGACCCCTGAATATCTTCATTCCGTTTGTACGTATTGTGAAAATCCATTAAGAAATGCTAATGTATCAAGATGTCGATTTCAGGGGATGGATATGGCTGTCATATCGCTTAAGTTTGCTGCGTACCGAACATGTGCAACGTTGTCAGCGGTACCATGATATGTTTTGTTATTTTGATGTTGAGTACGTGTATTCAGCTATATGTCAAACCCCTGGTCGATTTTTGTTTATTTCACTCATGATCGAGTTGTTGTTGTTGGACCTTGGTTTGCTCCCACGATTTCTCTGTACACAGCAAAAAAAAATGTAATATCGTTCAACGTAATTCAAGCTGATGTATGAAATAATGATGTAATAGCAAAAAGCAGATACAATATTACTTCAATGGATGTAATTTTGTTCGCAAAATCGATGTACATCGTACAATGTGATATTACACAACCGACCTGCTTGCAGCAGTTTCGATGTAATATTCAACAACTTTTTTTTTGCTGTGTAACACTCCCCATTATTCTGCGCTGCGAGTGAAATGAGGTGACTCGCGGTCACTCTTCATTTGATTTACACGGAAAGTCACCTCACTCACGTAACTTTTGTCACCTTACTAGTGACAGTGAGTCACTTCACCTCACTCCCGGCTCAGAATAACGGGGACTGCTGATTAAACAAAAACAGCTGCCAACGACACATCCTCATCCCACATCCATTTTATCCTCAAATCCGCATTCTCATCCACATCAACAAAAAAAATCTTAAAACTTAAGCATTTCATATATTAAAAGGTTCGACTTATGAACGACACATCCAGAACAACATGTGAAAAGGGCATACAAGCTTTTTGTAAACAAACCTTCTTACACAGCAAAAAAAAATGTAATATCGATCAACGTAATTCAAGCTGATGTATGAAATAATGATGTAATAGCAAAAAGCAGATACAATATTACATCAATGGATGTAATTTTGTTCGCAAAATCGATGTACATCGTACAATGTGATATTACACAACCGATGGATTGACCTGGTTGCAGCAGTTTCGATGTAATATTCAACAACTTTTTTTGCTGTGTATGCCTTTTTCTCGCCACCCAAATGACACCAACGCAAACCTTTAACATCACCGTATAGGGGACACTTTCCCCTTCCCGATGATATTGCTGGTTTGCGTGGGCGACCCTCGGTTGGTGAGAAAAGGGCCTACAAGGGTTTGTTTACAAAAAGCTTGTATGCCCTTTTCACATGTTGTTCTGGACATATGAATTTCATATTACTATTTTATGCATCTCTCTCTATTTTTTGCAAGATATTTATATTGAACACCCCTGTTCTAGTCCGATCTATAGAAAAGTGTTTACATGCTAAACACTCTCTACCACCGTTAGTATTAGTGAGCAGTTTCACTAATTCAAGCGTTTTATTGGTTATTGAAAAAAAAAAAAACAAACCGCTGTCAAGTCGAACACTTTGACAGCTGATTTCGTGGTTGAAAATAATAAACAAAATCGATTTTACACGGCTACACTAGCAACGTTGATTGGTAAAATCTTGCGACAAGAAATCAATTAGGTACTCCCGGTACTCCAGCGTGACGTCACAAATAAACTCAGTGTTCATCGGCTGAACCTTTTTGACAGTTCAGTGGTACTGTTTACAAGCACGTTACATTTTTTTTTAAATTTTCGAATTTTAACTTGAAAATTGTCGAGGAAATTGCGCGGTGAAAGGCTGTTGCTCGTGGACATTGCAGGAGTGTGGTTTACATCTCACTGCAGTCTGAAAAATTATCGAGAAAATTTGCCCAAGAAAAAATCGACTAAGTCCACGTAAACAGTACCACTGAACTGTCATCCGATTGAGGTTAACCCCGACGGTGAAAAACCTTATACAGATTGTTTTGATTTTGTTTTTAGTTTTTGTCATAGTCAATGTTTTAAATTTTATCATCCAGGCACTGTAAGGAAGTGTTTCTATGATTTAAATTAAAAGTGGTAAAGTGGAAAATTACAAAATCGTATTTAAAAATTATTTGTGCTCACGTTCATTATTTTTTCGACTTCTGCTTCCAACGGGGCAAATAAAGATAAACAACGACAAAATCAAAACTCTTGGATAGTCAGTAAAAATGATGGAATGTGGAATCTGTCTTGAGGAATACCCTGAGGGCGACTTGCAACTGCATCTAGCGATGTGCGTGGTACGGTTGGTGTTCCGGTGCACCCTTTGCGATGGGGATTATATGAGCAAGGAAGGACTGTGGAACCATTTGGACCTGCATGAGGTAAGGAGATATCAATGATCAATCCGTCATAGCCGATCCAAACCGGAATTGTGTTGCAGATTGCAGAAGAAAGTAAGGATTTACACTA